TCTAAATGTATTTATCTTATTTTATTGTAGATTTCACTGTGTGTGCTTACTCTATAGTAAAACTCTTTGAGATCATTTAATATTTAACACACTTAGATTAGTGAAAAAATCATCAAAGTGTGATATACATATGCTGGGTGAAACGTATTAAAACTTGCTATTATGTGTTATTGTACTTTGTGCTGATTAATATGTGTTTGGTAAATTAGCATGGCACAACACACAATCCCACATCTTGCTAATCGTAGTTGGTAATTTAGGTGGTCAAAGTAGAAGTAGGGAGCATTGACTTTCTACAATCATTATAAATTAATTTGATCAATTAAAGGATTGTCAAATGTCTCGGTTTTGCTAACTATGACCTGGTGTCCTGAAAAGGTAAGATGACAATACATAAAGTTTGGACTATTGACTGTGATGTGAATTTATGCATACTTTGTCATACAAATTTTACACTATAGTATTTTTACAAGTTCTGACTATAACTGTGACTGTGATGTGAATTTGTGTGTATTTCACCACATAAATTTCACACTATTTTCACACATTTCACACCACTATTATGATGTGTTGTGCCTGCATGGGTGTGTTGAGCCATGGATATCATAGACCACCAAGCTATAAGGACGTATGCTAGAACTTATCTAACCTCTGCACAAACCCTGAATACGAGCCTGGAGACATAGACTTCGGACGTATATAGAATTGTAAATAGACAAACCTGTGTGATAGGATATAGAACACTGAAACATGCAAATGTTAGAAACTTTAGTCTTTTACTTATTTACCCTTACCACCCTCTGTTTTGGAGGAAACTGCCTTACAACCAACATGATGAAGATTGCATTAATACTTGGTCATTATAAAATTGATCAAACATAAGTCTGTATTTTGCCATTATTCATTGACCTTTCCTTGTCTATTATGAAAAAGCCATCCAACACTGGTGGTAAAGACTTTTATATTGATTAAATGAAAAGTCATTACTAATATGATTGTTATATACAAGATTTTAAATTTATATCGTCTTGTTTGGATAATATTAGAAAATGTACGTTATCACGTAAATGTTTGCATACTTTTCTAAGTAAAAGCAGTTAATATTTTTATGTTGACCCATTGAGAGAAATTGAATACTATTTGTACTATAAAAGGTCTATTCATGCATATCAGTCCAGTAAAAGTTCTGTTATAATCCAGTCATAGGTCAGTCTCAATTGCATCCATAGTTTCTCAGTCAACCTGTCAGCCATTTGGTTACAGTCTGTTTTCTAACTCTTCATTAACCGATGTTATATAACATTTTTTATTTGAAACACAATATTCTATAAAATTTTCATTGACCAGTTTTTTGTTGATTGTTATAAACTGTACTTGATATACAAACACATACGTTGTCATCAGTCAGGCGTCCAAACAATTAAAAAATATCGTTGAGAAGAAATCGCTTGTTGTATTTAACAACATAAAGGTCGATTCACAAACGGTATGTAATAGTTTAATCATGTCACAGTGTATACAGCAACTGATTGTGACTGTGATGTGAATTTGATTAGTTGTGTGAAATGTGTGAAAATAGTGTGAAATTTTTGAAATTGCTTCCAGTTTATATGTTGTCATTAAGCAAGCGTTTAAAAATCCAACAATATCGTTGAGAAGAAACCAGCTGTTGTATTTGACGACATAAAAATCAATTCACACATAACACGTCACAGTTCAATCACATCAGTTACGACACAGTGTATACACCAACTGACTGTGACTGTAATGTGAATTTGTGTGTACTTCGTCACACAAATTTTACACAAATTTCACACATATTTCACACATTTCACACAAATATCATGGATGCAATTGAGACTGACCTATGACTGGATTATAACAGAACTTTTACTGGACTGATATGCATGAATAGACCTTTTATAGTACAAATAATATACAATTTCTCTCAATGGGTCAACATAAAAATATTAACTGCTTTAAACTATTAAACTATTACATACCGTTTGTGAATCGACCTTTATGTTGTTAAATACAACAAGCGATTTCTTCTCAACGATAT